AAAACTGAAGTACAACTCTCATGAGGCACTGCCAGCATTTCTAAATCAAAGTAGTTTGGTTCTTGACCTTTTGTCAAAAATTTCAGGGAGGGCGGAGCCCATTTTCCAATGAGCTCTACAAGGGGTGTGTGTTTTTCACTGAACAGTAACATATTCTACTAGATTTTCTTTGGCAAAGGGGAAACTTGTGTTCTATTAGATATGGGTGTTCTTCCTTTTGTTTAGAAACTATTGTGAAAAACCAGGAGGCAATGAGGTCGCTGATGGCTGAGCTGGTGCAAAGCCTGGGCGCTGTGGAGCAGAGGATCCGTAACATAGAACAAGAGATGGGGCTGATCACTAGATTCACCCAGGAGCTAAATGAATTGGGTGAAGACAACTGGACTTGAAGGTGCTCATGACTTGCCTCGGGTCAGGTACAAAACTAACTGCCCTGTTCCACATTTCACTACAGCCCCCATGGCCGTTGATCTGGGCTACAATAGTTCTTTATTGACTCTTCAATCTGTGTGTTAGGGATGAGTTTTTGTGAAGGATCTAGAGAAGTTGTTAACCAGTCCTTATGGGAGTGAGGCAGCTAAGATGCAAAGTGATTTTGCAAAAGCACTTACCTTAACAAATTAATCGGTTCTTTTTTAAGATGTGTACAGGTTTTGAAAATGCTGAAATCTCCATTCTCTGCATTGGTAGACTTAGAAGCCTCTACGTTGTAGAGCTTCGGAGTCAGTTGCTTCTCCTTTTCCCTAGTTGCCAAGATATTGATGAGTTCCCTAACAAAGCTTGTTGTCCCCAAAGCAAAACCATTCCCTCACTGGGTAGATTATTCTTCCTCTCACATAGACATCAACTGATCTGGTCTCTTGGAATCCTGCCTCGGTCTAAATATCCTGATGCACAATGAACAAACAGTGGGCTGCATTAAAGGAACAAATCTGTTTATGTTCTCATGAACTTTTGCAGATTGTGGTTGTATTTATAATAAAGGAAGCTCTTAGTCTCCTATCGATAACAAACAACACGAGGGATTTGTGCACGTTCCAGCTCTGTTGACCACTTTCACATTCGCTTAAAGATCCCTACAGATGGATACCTAGAAATAAAGCAGTGGCCGTTAATCTCTATTTGATCGGGGGCTCTGTTCAGTTTTTTTAGCATTCAGGTGTGGAATGTAGATGCACCTGAAATGCTCATGGGGGTGGAATATTCAACTATTCTGGATTGGAAGGCTGGATAATTTTTTGTCTGACCGTAAGTCAGTTCAAGCAGCCTTGGCATATACCAGTGTAACAGACTTTCACTGCTACTACATGTTTTAGTCTGTATTTCCACTAATACCTGCTCTGCTTCTGGTAACCTGAATTGTTTATAGCAGATCAAATACTAGTTAAAATTCCTTGGTCAGTAACTGATTTTTGGGAATTTATAAAACATGCTAGTCCATTGATATTAGGCCAGCGATAGAAGTAGCTGATGAATTTAAAACAATAAAATGTATGAGGATAAATTGATTGCTTTATTAGTAAACCACATGTAATGAGATCTAGGGGCACAGATCAGCTGGTGTAAATTTTCATGGCTTAATGTAGCTCTGGTAGCCTATACTAGGTGAGGATCTGCCCTACTGTCTTAAGAATACATGTTTAAAAAAAGGCTTGTTTTAGACGCAAGCCCCAGTCTCTGGTTTCTCTAAGAGAAAGTTTGGGATGGGTGGCTCTGAAGAGGAGCGGAGGCTGGTGGTTCTTGCCTGGCAGAAAAGTTTGCACTTTTCTATTTATCTGAATGTATTTATTCCCTTTCTCTTGTTCTGATGCTTTTGGACAGAAAGTGATCTGTGTTTTATGTTTGCATAACTAAATTGGACCATGATCACGTTCACTGCACCTTAGTAAATGTTCAGCTGATGGAAAAAAATTGAGTCATTTGATTTCTCTCTCGCGCTTCCTAGCAAGCAAAGTAGATTCTTGGGGTGCAATAGCCCCTGTTCTGCAATTTCTACCAACAGGAGGTAACCCCACTGCCATTGACTGGGGAGAGTTTGGATAGAAGTAGTCATGGCATCAGCTGGGGTACATGACATTTAAGATTTCCTTGTTTGGGAAGCTATGGCATTATAGGCTAAGGTGTGAATTTAAACCAGTGTAGCTAAATTGGTATAAATCCCTGTGTGGACACTTTTATACCAGAATAAGTGTCCACACTGGCAGTTACACTGATGTAGTTAAATTGGTGTAACTTCCTGTCCAGACAAACCCTAAGGAAAAAAGTCCAGCTAAACAACTGCTGAAAATTGAAATTTTCAGCAAGTTCTGTAGTTTAAGCCCATTAAGTCAGTGAGCCCTAGTGCATAATTTTGTCTGTGTAGCCAGGGAAGAGTTAAGAAACTTCATGAAAACATCATTGTCCAGTAGATATGATTCAGGACTGACAGAGCCAGGTCTTCCAGTGATTTGCTGCATAACCTTGGATAAGTCACTTTCCCTTTCTGTAATATGGGAATAGGGACACTGCGATGAAAGCTCTTAGCTGTAATTCACAGGCAGGGTATGCTGACCCTTAATCTATAATGAGATGGGACTCTTGTTAAGTTTTGGCCTGAATTACTTCCTGTGGCAATGAATTCCACAGTCTTTCACACATGATTAAAAGTATTTCCTTTGATCCGTTTTGGATTTCCTACATTTTAATTTTAGTGAAGGCACTAATATTTAGTTCACAGTAAGGTGGGGTGTGAATCTACCCCATGCTAGCCTGCCATGGACTATGTCCATGTGGACCCAGCTGATGTGCATTAGTAGTTAATGTGCTTTGATTAGTCCTGTTTCAAAGAGGACTAGTTGAAAACACATCAACAAACTTAACGCATATCAGCATGGTCTACATGAAGAGTTCCTAGCAGGTTAATGTGGGGTGTGTACACACACACTCTTACTGTGAATTAACTGGTTCATGTAGACCAGCCTGACATCTAGTCTATGCTACAGACCTATATCAGTATAACCACATTGCTCAGGGGTATGAAAAATCCATACTGTTGAGTAACATAATTATATTGATCTAACCCTGTGTATAGACAGCGCTATGTCGATGGGAGAGCTTCTGGCATTGACATGGCTACCACTTCTTGGGGAGGTGGATTAACTACGCCAACAGGAGCCTTCTCCTGTTGGCATGGGAGCAGCTTCTCTGAACGCTACAGCAGCACAGCTGCATGTGTGCAATGTTTTAAAGGCAGACCTGCCCTCAGTGTCCCCTTGCTCACCTGCTCTTTCCCTTCTCCATTTTAGTCATATTGCTATAGCTTTTTATCATGTCCCCTCTTATTCTTTTCCTCTAAGGTTTTGTCTACATGTGAAAGCTACTCTGGCATAAGGTAAGGAGTGAATTTTAAAATTCACAATAGCTGTTCCCAAATTGCTGTGTGTGGACACTTATTCCAGAAGAAGAGTACGTTTTTCTGGTTTAGTTTAATCTACTTCCAAAATGGATTAAGCTAATTCAAATCCCCCTCGAAAGTGGATTAAACTAAACCAGAAAAAGGCGTGCTTATTCCAGATTCAGTGTGTCCACACATGAAGGAATTCAAGCATAGCTATTCTAGAATAACTCCAGCTGCAGAAAAGCCCTACACTGAACCATTCCAATCTTTAATCTCTGTCAAATTCTGGCTTTAAATTCTGTTCAGGTTCTCGTATCATAAATGTAGTAGAGTGCCTTCCACTTCATTTCACTTGTCCTCTCCCCCAGCAAAGGACTCTGGACAGGTGGAAAACCAAGTTCGATACTTTTACTGCTGAGGCCAGTCACAAATTAATCATGCTTCTCTGTATTATCCAGCCCCACCCCTCACCATCCCCACCCAGTGCAGCAAGGTGACATCAAACTAGAGGGCCAGATTTCTGTGGGTATGTCTACACAGCAGCTTAACATCTGTGGCTGGCCTATGCTGGCTGGTTCAGACTGCGGGGCTATTTTATTGCTGTGTAGACTTTTGGGCTCAGGATGGAGCCTGGGCTCTAGGACCCTGATGAATGGGAGGGTTCCAGAGCTCAGGTCCCAGCCTGAGCCCAGAAGGCTACACAGCAATGAAACAGTCCTATGAGCCTGAGCTGAGTGTTTTGCAACTGTGTAGACATACCCTGAGAAGACCTGGGATGGGGAGAAGTTAGGGCTAGCTGGTGGTGATGGTGGGTGGGATTAGTAAAGCAGGTGAGTCCCTCACCCCAGGAAATTGCTCTTGCTAAGGGAGGGAGTCTAGGGCACCTTCAGTTTTAAGGTTGCTTGAAGGGGGTTGAGACCTGGAGCACTGATTAAGCATCCAACTTCTGCAGTGGGGAAGCAGTGCTGGGGATGGAATTGGACCTAATTTCCTACCCACCTCTGATACCAAAGTGGGCAGCCCAGGGAATGAATCTCCCCTGGGGAGGGGAGGGATCTTGAGTCCCAGAAGAGGGAACAACCAAGGTTGTGGGTATTTTCTCTTCTCCGTCCTATGCTTAGCCTGCAGGGCTGCAGCAAGGTCTCAGCGGCCGACCAGAGTCACGGATCAGCTAGAGATGGGCTGCTGCTACATTGGGACCCACCCAGTGGAAGGAGCTGAATGTCACCAATATCACTCCTATCTGTCAGGGTTATCCCCACATGGAGTCTCTGAAGTGTCATGAGCTGACCTGGGCAACATTTTTTGTTGGAAACTTCTTTTCTCTGTGAAGAATGCAGATCCACTAACTTCAAAATGTTTTGCAATTTTTTCTGTTTCATTGAATTGTTCCAGCTGATTCCCTCATGGTCCCCCCCCCCCCCCAGCAAAAAAAAATCTGGAAGCCAAAAGATTGAACATCTTCAAATCAGAATTATTTTTGGTTTTGACCTTTCCTTCCATTTAATTTTAAAAAGGATGTTAAAGCTGTTCCGAATCCTGATGAAAGATTTCATGTAGCACAAAAGAGTTCAACTCAAGATTTTTATTTTAAACTTTTCTATTCCCCCCCCCCCCCCCCCCCCCCAATTTTTGAAACATTGTGTTTTGGGGGCACTCAACATGGTTGGTTTGTTTGGTTTTTTTGAATTGCCACCTCACTGAAAAAGCCCTTACCTGCCCCGTTCCAGTCATAAGTGCTGAGCTCCAAGCAAACCTTTACCAGTAGCTAGGGGGTGGCATTAACAAGGTTTCTCTTGCAGGTGAATCCTCTGATGCTTAATGAGAGCAGAGCTGTCCCCAAAACTTCTCTCGCAGTCAGGGCAGTGATAGGGCTTCTCTCCCGAGTGGGTTCTCCAGTGCTGAGCCAGGTGCGAGTTCTGATTGAAACTTTTCCCACACTCGGGGCATTTATAGGGTCGCTCTCCTGTATGAGTCCGGCGATGGGTGGTCAGGGACGAACGGGCCGTGAAGCCCTTCCCGCAGTCAGCACACTTGTAGGGTCTCTCCCCGGTGTGGACCCGGCAGTGCTGGGCCAGATGGGACCTCACCGCGAATCCTTTCCCACACTCGGCACATTTGTAGGGTCGCTCGCCTGTGTGAGTCCGGCTGTGCTGAGAGAGGTGGGCACTGCGGGCAAATCCTTTCCCACACTCAGGGCATTTGTAGGGTTTCTGGCCCCTGTGGGTGCCCTGATGCTCCAGGAGGTTGGAGCTGACATTGAAGCTCTTCCCGCAGTCAGGGCATTTGTAGGGCCGCTCCCCTTTGTGCAGCCGCTGGTGGGCAATCAGGGCTGAGCTCTCATTGAAGCTCCTCTCGCACTCAGTGCATTTGTAGGGCTTCTGCCCCGTGTGGATCCTCTGATGTTTAATGAGGTTGGAGCTGACGTTAAAGCTCTTCCCGCAATCGGTGCATTTATAGGGTCTCTCTCCAGAGTGGATCCGCTGATGTACCACCAGGACTGAGCTGACCCGGAAGCTCTTCCCGCATTCAGGGCATTTGTAGGGGCGCTCGCCTGTGTGGCTCCTCTGATGTGCCACCAGGCGGGAACTGACCCCAAAGCCCTTCCCGCAGTCAGCGCAGCGATAGGGTTCCTCTCCCGAGTGTGTCCCCCGGTGCTGGGTCAAGTGAGCCAGCTGCGTGAAGCCTCTCCCGCAGTCAGGGCATATATAGGGGCGCTCCCCCGTGTGGATCCTCAGGTGGGCCCTAAGGGTTGAGCTCCGGTTGAAGGTTTTCCCACAGTCAGGGCACCGGTGGCATTTCTCTCCCTTGCAGGCGCTCCACTGGACATCAGGTTGGGCACTCTCAATGAAGCCTTCCCTAGACCCATTACCTTCCCCTTCTCTCTGCTGCACCCAGAGTTGCCTTACATCTTCTCCTGGGGGAAAAGATTTATCCTCTCTCCCCCCTGGAAGATTTCCTTCCTCCTCTTTCTCCCACCCGCCCTGACTCTCGCTGGCTTCTCTCAGGCAAATGTGCCCCTCTGCTTTCTCAGCTTCTGCTGACTCAGGGCTTCCCCACAGCAGATTTGCCTCCTCGTTCACACTTGTTGCCATCCCTGGTTTATGGAGAGAATCCACATACAAGACATTCCCCGCCAACTGGGGGAGGAAAAGGGGGGGGAAAAAACAATTCCTGTGTGGAATTCTCTGCCCCGTGCTATGCAGGTCAGGTTAGATGATCCCTTCTGGCTTTAGAATCTGTTATACTGAAATAATGTATTGGGGAACTTGGACAAAACCACCTCCCAGTCCTTCACTGGAGGGGACCCATCCTGCTTCCCTTCCCATCTCAATAGGCAGAGTGAGGGTTGGTAGCTGCTTTCAGGCAGAAAGGGTACAACATTTGCCCTGAAGCGAGGACAGGTGTTGTTTGCAACACCTGTCAGGGATGGTCTAGATAATACTTAGTCCTGCCATGAGTGCAGGGGACTGGACTAGATGACCTCTCGAGGTCCCTTCCAGTTCTATGATGAGCTACCTGAGCAGGGCAGATCTGGAAAAGCTCACAAGGGCTCAAGGCGAATCCCAGCGCTGGCCTTCTCTCCCAGATGGTCTCTGAGCTGGTTTAACTGGTTCTTCACCTGGGCTGGTGCCTCCCCTGGAGATCCAGTGCCCACAGCTCTTCCCCTGGTTCCATGCAGATCAGGTCAGGTTTAAGGATGGGGAATCCTGCTCCAGGGAGAGAGAACAGGTGAGATCAGGGTTGGTTACAGATTCCTGGGGTCCATTACACAGAAGGTGCCAGGATTTTAAGCCTTGCCCCTATGTTTGTCAGAGGGAACATGTAACATGAAGCAGATGGGAAATGCCCATGGAGATGCCCTTTGGCAAAGCGCCGCATGCGGGGGCTGATGTACAATGGTCCAAGTAAGGGATTCAGGGATTGCCACACATGGTTGGGAGTTAGTGATTCAGCCCAGCACAAGGATTAAATCTCTTGGCCGTTTCTAACCCCCTGCCCAGACCGACAAGAGGTCCCTAGAAGCCTGGCCTACTGCTCTCCCTGGGTACGTCCTCAGAGTTAAAAAAAGAGATGTGTTCGTAACTGGGGTTAAAACAGTGCAAATGCAGCACTTTGACTGGGGTTAGCAGTTCAAGTTGCACCCCAGGCTTTAGGAACAGGATGTTCTCCGTTGCCGTTACCCATAGGAACAGCAAACAAGCTATGTTTGACTAGGGCCATGCTTGAAAACTGGTTTCCCTTTTGTGTTCTGGGAGTGTATAACACCATATAGCTACCCAGTTAACCCAAAAGTGTCAGAGACAGAGAGAGGTTGTTGGGTTTTAATTGAATTTTTGTGAGTGAATCCAAATTAAGAACACAACTCTTTTTTGCAGTGGAGACATACCCTCAGTGCCTCAGGTTGTTAAAAGGAATTGCCGCCCACCCCTGACACTTGAATGCCATGATTTGCTTCTGCCTTTGCTCTCTGTTCACACCAACTTCAATGGAACCACTCCATGGCTTGGACTACACTTAAGAGTTAGTTTGGTGTAGCTTTGTCGGTCAGGGGTGTGGAAAAAAACCCTATGCCAACCTAACGCCCTGTGTAGACACAGCTGTCAATGGAAGAATGCTTCTGGTGACGTAATGGTGGGAGGGGGGGTTCCTACACTGATGGAAAACTCCCTTCCATTGTTGCAGGCTGCGTCTACGCTACAGGGTTATGCCTGTTTAGCTACAATGATGTAATGACATATCCCCAATTTACATCAGTGCAGTTGAGATCAGAATCAGACCCCAAGTACTACACAGGCCCAGCCTGTGTAAAGACTTGTCTATATTAGAGTTAGTTAATTGATTGCTAATTAGCACAACGTTATTCACACGGTTGTAAAGGCTATCCCTTATGGTCCCTTCCCAGGATACAAACTTAACACGGTTTAGGCTGCTGGTGTGCTGAGAACACCACCGATCGTGCTGGCCGCTTTTGTCTCATTGTTTCCTTGTATTCATCTGTTTGTCTCTTGTCTTATACGCAGGCCTAGTCTACACTGGAAGAAGTGTACCAGATAATTCTCCCAGGATAAGCGTCTCCACACAGGAAGCTATTCTGGGGTATTTATTCTGGTCAAATTCCTCACATAGACAAACCCTTAACCACAGCCTGCTGACCTGATACTGATCACATCTTGTCCCTGTCCGCACTGACTACAGAGTACAAGATCATGTTCTAACAGTGCCCTAAGATAAGCTCAGGGGGAGCTGGGAGCAGGGTACTCCCTGCTGAGGGGTCTCTCCAGACCAAGTCAGATCATGCACTGGACCAAGAGTTTTCTTGTCAAGGACCCTCAAAGGGCAACACCTGCAATGACAAGATGATGTTCCAAGGCAGGTGCATACCTAGTACAAGTTGCCACCTGGCCATGTATCTATCCCCCCTTCTTTTCTCTGTGTCAACACAGAATTGATCCCCGCATCCGAGGAAATGTTTGGAGAAATCAGGGGCTGCACAAAAGTTAAGGTGATTCAATTCAGCTTCTCTGCAACTTCCTTTCTTCCCCCAGCATTTGGAGTGACTCTTAGCTCTTAAGAGGTCCCATTGCCCTCGTATATAAGCACCTCACAAACTTTAATGCATTGCCAGGGCTTACATTCAGCTGGAGCTGACCGGAACAGAGCTCTGGTAATTATTTTCAAATCAGTGGGAGTCCCAGCACCTCCCATGGGACTAAAGGCTCGACCCCCTCCCCAGCACCTTCCGTGGAGCAGAAGCCCTGGGGCTCTGGGAAATACTCGGAGAATTTAGGCCCTGTGTATTTCCCATTGCTACACCCCTGGGAGGTGGGCAAGATTTGTAAAGGAATTTAGGCATCTAATTCCCAAGGTCACATGCAGCCTATGACGGAGCAGGGAACTCCTGAGCCCCAAACTGGTGCTTTAACCAGTGGGCCACCCTTCCTTGTGTCCTAATTCTCCTCCTCTCTCTGCTCCCCCTAATCTCTGGAACCGCTGGATCAGTTGTCCCCAGATTCACACTGCTAACTCTACCCTCAGCCCTCATGATGCACAGCGATTTTCAAGACAACCTGAGCACACGTGCGGATTTTAGAGCACTTTGAAAAATCAGCTCTTTGACAAAACCATCTAGCCACGTGTGACACAACTGTGCCTGTACCTGTGACTCAGCCTGCTCCGTTCATCTGTCTCCTGCCTGTCGTCCTCTCCGATTGCAAACTCACTGGGGCCACAATTTGCGCCATGCTACATCGGAGGGGCCCGTATGCTAGGCACTGTACAAACTCTGGCCCTGATCCTGTGAAGACTCACGTAAATAAACGCAGCAGATGTCCGTTGATTTCAACAAGCACACCTCGCCTGAGTTAACAGGTGCTGGGGCCAGAGTCTTCACAGGTGTAGGGCTGGAGTTTATGTGGTGCCTCCCACGACGGAGCCCTCACTGACCATAGCACAAGTAATTCAAATGGTGGCTTACCACCTCCCTGGCCACTGGGCATTAGGAGGAAAGAGAAAAAGGACACATTTTCTCATTGATGCTTTATGTATTTGTGCAGGTAGGGTAACCAGCAGTCCTGATTTTATAGGGACAATCCTGATATTTGGGGGTTTTCTCCTATATTGGCACCTATTACCCGCACACCCCTGTTCCAGTTTTTCACACTTGCTAGCTGGTCACCTGATGTACAGTGCTTAGACACCAAGGAGATAATCACTGGAGAGCGCTGGGTCTCAACCCGTGGGCTGCTGACAGCCAATCAGTTGTGACATCCTCCGGGCCATACAGGTAGTATATATATTGTGTGGATGCGGCCCACTTAACGTAACACGCAGAGCTGCATATACAGCCCACAGTGGTAAATAGGTTGAGATCCATTGCTCTAGAGGGGTGGTACACAGATAAATTAGCAGACTAGGATCTATGGAAAATAATTATAGAGTGATGGATTCGTCATCACCAATCAATAAGGATTTAGAGAAAGACACAAGAGAATGGATCTAGGAGTTGGGAACCTCTCCCCATTTATGGCTCCTGCTCTGGTCTCTCCTCCCCCTTGGCCTGGGAGGCTAATTTGTAATGAAACAGGTGCCAGGACTCAAGCAGTTTTTTTACATGCATAACTGACGTGGCAAGCCCAGAGGTGCCGGGGCTCTGAACTGCCAAGCCCAGAGATGCCGTGCCGGGGCTCTGAACTGCCAGGCTCAGAGGTGCCGGGGGTCTGAACTTCCAGGCTCGAGGTCCTAGGGCTCACCCTGGTGCAAATTAAGCACTGGCTGACCCATTCCCATGGCTCTTTGCTTGCGGGACTGGGAATGTGTGTCGGTGATGGCCGCAGATCTGGGACTGGCAGAGACATGGAGAGCAGAGATACAGGGGTGGGGGAGTGAGATGAGGAGTCGCTTTCCTGCCTGGCCCCAGCCCTTTCCCCCAGGTCTCCCCATCACCTGCAGGCTCCAGCTCAAGAGCTGGTGTCGGCAGAGCCTGGGGTCTGGTTCCAGCCACCGGAGAAGGTACCCACCCGGGCTGGGCACAGAGGGGCTTGGATGAAGGTCTCCCCCTAGTCCACACCCCACTGCGGGGGCAGGAGCTGCTCAGTCGCAGCTGCATCCGTGTCAGCCAGGAAACTTGTGCTGAACCGAGGAGAAAGAGAGACAAGGAGAGAGGGAGCTGCCTCCCCTTAGCACAGCCAGAGCCCTCTGGTGGGGACAGCTTTGGAGCTGCAGACAGAAACCCTAATGCTGTGGAAGTAGGGACTGTATTGAAGCCACCTCTGAATGACAAGGCACATTCTTATGAGCCAACAGGTGATGCTTTTCCTAAGAGGAGCCCAGGCATCGCCAGACTGGCTCAGCCTTGAGGTCCTTCTAGTTCGGTCTCTGCTAGTGGCTGGTCCCAGATGCGTCAGAGGAAGGGCTCAGAAACCTGCAGGAGCAGATGCGAGGTAATAATAATACCATGCTCCTAAATCACTCTTTTCTGTGGCCGGTCATCTTGGTCTCTTAATAGTTAGAGGCCCTGTCCCAGCCATTTTGACACTTTTTGGGGGGCAAAACTGGGCATTTGCCATCAGTTGGAAAGAGCAAACTGGACAAATGCATAGTTTGCCCCCCCCCCCAAATGGGGCACAACCCCTAGCGGGGTGTGGAGGAACGGGGTGGGGTGGGGGGAGAGCAGCAACACCCATGTGGCAGGGCGGGCTCAGGAGAGTGGCTTGGGACGGGATGGCCCCGCGTGCAGGTGGGCAGCAGGGGGTCTCAGGCTGGCCCTGCACGTCGGGAGAGGGGGCCTCGGGCCACCCCCACCTGCAGGGGTTGACGGGGGGGGGGCTCAGACCAGCGCCGCACACAGGGGGGAGGGGACCCTTGGGCCAACACCGTGGGGTGTCCCGTTTTCTAAGCCAGAACCATCATAGCACTGGCTACTCTTGATCTCTGTATCCGTATCTGTGACAGACCGACCAGGGAGCCCAAGGGAACGCCACTGCTCAGCGTGATAGGCTGTGGTCTCCGCACACCTGCAGCCTCATTGCTGGCAAGCGTTTTGCAGGTCCCAGGGCACATGAGAGGCTCAGGGAGGGTTTTGCAGGAGGGTAAGGCGGTGGCTCAGTGGGTGTTAAACCCAGGAGATGGTTTGTGAATGGAACAGGTGGGTGATGGAGCCTGCACCACATGGGCCCCCCCAGAGTCAGGAGTGGCAGCAATCTGAGAGTTTGCACCTGCAGGGATGGCTCCGGGGCAGGGGCTGGGACCCCATCTGTGTTGAAAGGAAGTCACAGGGTGGGGGGCACAGAGCTGTTAACGCTCATGGACGGGAACCCTTTTGGGCCGTGGTCTGTCCCGGGGAGGGGATAGGGCGAGCAGATAGCAAGTGTGAAAAATGGGGACGGGGGTGGGGTAATAGGTGCCTGTATAAGACAAAGCCCCAAATATTGGGACTTTCCCTATAAAGCCAGGACATCTGGGCACCCCTAGGAGGAGCGAGGGAAGAGGGTTTTCCTTTCTGCCCCCACTAGAGGGCTCTGGGTTACAGCTCAAAGCAAGGCTGGGCTAATTCCTGACTCTCTCCCTTGGCCACGAGTTTTCTGCTGTGAACTGATCAAGAGATGACTAAACTTCCTGGGTTGGACAGAGCCGGTACAGCTGGGGAGCAGCCGGAGAGAGATTGAAGCAGGCACTAGGCCTAGCTGAGAGTAGGGAACTGGCCTCCTAGGGCAGCCCTGAAACAACAACTGCAGGTGATGGGGAGACCTGGGGGAAAGGGCTGGGGCCGGGCAGGAAAGTGACTCTGCACCAACAGCCCCATCTCTGCTCCCCCCTCTGCAAGTCCCAGGGCTGCTGCCCTCCCTGACCCACTCTGGGTCTCAGCTACGGGAGAGCAAACACCCCAAGGGCATGGGCCAGGGACCAAATCTCCCGGCCAGAGGGGAAAGGGAGAGAGATCTGACTGGGCAGCAGGAGTAATAAGTGGAGAGGGTGGTTCCCAGCTGCCCGACCTGCCCAGATCTGCTCCCTGCGTCATCCCTGGCCCTACTGGCTTTCCTGGGGATGAGGTGTCTGAGCAGAGAGAGGACAAATCCGTTCTGGCTCTCATTTGTCAGGGGCTGGGCCGCAGGGAAAGGAATTCCTCCAAAGCTACTCCTTGGAACCTGCTCTAGCTGGAGCGCACAGGGGAACAGACAGGTAGGGTTGGGTTGAAATTGTGAAGCCAGTTGTCCAGTTACTTACAACAGTGGGTCTCAACCAGGGGTACGTGCCCCGCCTAGGGGTACTCCGAGATCTTTCAGGGAGGATGTCAGCTCCTCTAGATATTGGCCTAGTTTTACAACAGGCTGCATAAAAAGCACTAACGAAGTCAGTGCAAACTAAAATTTCAGACAGACAATGTACCTGTTCATACTGCTCTATAGACGATACACTGAAATGTAAGGACAATATTTATAGTCCAGACGATTCATTTTATAATTATATGGTAGAAATTAGAAAGTCAGCAATTTTAGAGTACTAGCATGCTGTGACCCTTTTGTATTGTTGTGTCTGATTTTGTAAGCAAGTCATTTTCCAGTGAGGTGAAACTTGGGGTACGTAAGACAAATCAGACTCTGGAAGGGGTACAGTAGTCTGGAAAGGTTGAGAGCCACAGGCTTACACCACGCTCAATGCTACTAGCTGGGCCTCAGCTCTGATCCAGGCTGGCACTGCCTAGATTCATCTTTTGGGCTGAAGGTCTCTGCCCAGGGGGTGAATTTAGTTTGGCAAAGTTTGAGGATAAAACCTCTGAGCCTTTTCCTGAGAAGCGGCCAGAGGGGCGGCGCAAGTTACCACCTGTGTCAGTTTTTCAACACTTCCGTTACCTTTGGACAACGAATTTTATGGTGAGAATTTTTATGGCAGGGTGAGAATTTCCAAGTCAGACACACTTCTCGCTGTAGGCTCATAAACACCGGTTCTGCTACAGCTTTGTCGTCAGAGGTGAATAAAAGATTAATGTGCAGACACACTGAGCTTCTTTCCCCCTTTGATCAGAATTGTTTCCTCACTTAAGGGTCAGTTCTGTGAACACTCATCTACAGATTGATTCTAAGCACGTCAAGGGTCCCACATGCAGGCTAAACCTCTTAGCCTTTGTTCTGAGCAGGGGCCGTGGAGGTGGGGAGCATTATGTTTTGCCATTTGAAGAGTGTTGTCAGAGTTTGACCAATTCCAGCGCCTTTGGGGATGGAAATTTTACATTTGACGGAGAGAGAATTCCTAGGTCAGGTGCATTCCTCTCTGTTGTCTGGTGAAAATCGGTTTGGATGCAGATTTGTTATGAGAGTGGAGTGAATGTCTCTTGTGCGGGAACACGGATTATTTCCGCCCTTGATAAGGTTTGTTTCCTCACGGAGGAGCTGAGCCCGGTAACGCGCACACCCATTTGTTTGGGACTGTGAGAACAGTCCCATTAACGTTGTTAAATTTAAGGAGAGAGTTTGAAAATCTCTCAGTCCTGGTGTGGGAGCGGCGTTGTGCTGAAATAAAAAGACACAGGCTGGGATCTTTCAATTCAGGAGCCTAAATTTAGGCTCCTGAATCCATATTCAGGCTCCTGGGTAACTGGCCTATTATCAGAAGTTCTGGGCACTCAGAACTGAACCCCAGCGACGCCCGCTCGGGATTTGTAAAAACCAGGATTCTTATTCAGGATACAGCTCGAGGAGGCGAACTATAGGATGGTATTTGAGGCAATCACGTCTCGTACATTACGTCCAAACGGCACAGTCTAGAATTTCTGTCTGCAGGGAGCATGCGAAAGGGAAATGGGTGTGAAATGGACTCAAGCCGCTGCTGAAACTTCCCCATTTGTGCTTCTCGCCTGACAGGCTGCAGAAGAACGTCCGTGTTTCACTTTAGGTTGTCCGGTCCTCCTTGAGGGTAGGAAAAGGGAATGGCTGCAGCAAAAGCAGTGACCTTTGAGGAGGTGGCTGTGTATTTCACCGCGGAGGAGTGGGCTCTGCTGGACCCCACTCAGAGAGCCCTCTACAGGGACATCATGCAGGAGAATTATGAGAATGTGACCTGGCTGGGTAAGTCACCATGAGCATTTTCCACCTACTCGGGTTGCAGGTCCTCGCTAGCCAACATAGGGCTGGGATCTTCCCAGTATCATCTGTGTAACGAGGAAACCGGGAATCTGTAACCAGCCCTGATTGCTCCGGTTCTCTCTTCCCCTGGGCAGGATTCCCCATCCCTAAACCTGACCGGATCTCCCGCATGGAGCGAGGGGAACAGCTGTGGGTGCACCAAGCAGCTATTCCCTCCCTTCCTCTATCCTCTGTGCCATGGTATCGATGCTGAAGCTCATTAGTTGCCAGCTGTGGGGAGGAGTTTGGGGAAGATTCCCCTGCTGACTGTTCAGCTGATCCAAAAGCTTCTGCCGGTGTGACAAACCCTTGCCGATCCCCTTTCCCCGGGGCCCCTCCCCAGCACAGGGCGTGACTCATGCTGGGTTCTCTGCTTCTCCCAGCAGGTGATGGGATGGCCAGTGAGACCGAGGAGGAGAATCCCCAGCAGGGAGGCCCTGAGTTGGCAGACCCACACGGGCCATTCTCGGGAAGGTCCCAGGGGAACATTTGCCAGGGAGGAGCTAGCGTGAGTCAGGGCAGGTCGGAGGAGCAGCGGGGAAACCTGCCCTGGGAGAGAGAGGATAAATCCTCTCCTGAAGAGGGATGTTTCAAGAAACTCAAAGAGCTCCTGGACCTTAAGGGGAAGCACAACAGAGGGAAGGGAAAAGCAGGCACTGAACGTGGGCAGGGCTCACAAGAGATGCTCCATTTGGAAACCCACCTGGAAGAGGCATCCCATAGATGTGGGGAAAGCCCCCAGCAAAACTCAGTGCTTCCACAACATCAGAGCATAGCCCTCACCATCCATCTCTCGAGGCAGAAACCTTGCCGGTGCCCCGACTGCAGGAGAAGTTTTGTTCGGAGCTCGACCCTCATGGCACATCAGAGGCTCCACACAGGAGAGAGGCCCTACAAATACCCCGACCTGCAGAGGAACCCTTTCCAGTGTCCAGAATCCAGGAAATGCTTTGCCGAGAACTCGGCCCAGACAAAGCACCAGCAATTCCACCCCGGAGAGAGTCCCTACGCGTGCCCAGACTGCGGGAAAGGATTCAGCCTCACGATGCACCGGAGGGTCCACACAGGCAAGCGCCCCTTTCTGTGTCCTGACTGTGGAATGGGCTTCAATCAGAGAGCCAAGCTCACCATGCACCAGAGGGCCCATGAGGGGGAGCGACCCAACTGCAGGAAAAGCTTCGGCCGGTGGGTACCCCTGGGGCAGCCCGGGAGGGCCCATTGCAGGGAAAAGCCCTGTGTCTGCACCAGCTCTGGGAAAAGATTCAACGCCTCGGCCCTAATCAAACACTGGCGGGGCCACATGGGAGAGAGGCCCGACAAACGCCATGAGGGCGGGAAAAGCTTTGGCCGGCGCTCCGACCTGGCCCAGCGCTCTCCGGCCCCAGAGGAGAGGCCCCGCAGCAAAGGTACAGCCCTGCCAAAACACCGGGTGGCAGAGAGACCCTACCACTGCCTCGACTGCGGCAGGACCTTCAGCAGACGCTCTAACCTGCTCGCCCACCAGCGTGGCCACACGGGCGAGCAGCCCTACAGGTGCTCATGCTGCGGGAAAGGCTTTGGCCTACGTTTCAACCTTGCAATGCATGGGAGAGTCCATGCTGGCAAGTGATGCAATTCATGCCCCCACTGAGGCAGCAGCTTCAAGCAGAGATCCGACCTTATGGTGCACTGGAGACTCCACGTCAATCAGTCTTCAGAAGAGCAGGTTGGAAAATAGGGTTTTCTTTTGGGTTATTTTTCCCTCCGTGGAAAATTTTAACTTTTCAGGGAAATTTCTAACGCTAAAACATTTTGGCCAACAACGGAAATATTTGCCGCGGTGCCTCGGTGTCGTGGAGTTGTGGTTCACGTATGCTCCCATTCTCCTCTCTAGGCCCGTCTCCCTGGTCAGCCTGCCTCTCCCATGATACACCATGGTCTCCCCTCTTGATTTCAATGGGATGTAGGCACTTCTCTGCGTTATATTCTAGGCATACACGGCGAGACCTTCAATAAAAGCATAAATCCTCTCAGTGGAAGGTTGCCCTATAACACAACTACATTTTGTAGAATTCAGTACGCTCACACACCACAAACCGAAAACAGAGAGAGACAAAGCAGGCTGCTCTCTGAGACAGAGAGGAACAACTTACCCTTGCGCTAAGCTGGCTTTCTCCGGACTGACTCTGACTGCTTGCTTCCCTAGAGCCCCTAGCCTGCTTGCAGGACCAGAAACCCCCACCACATCTGAAGTGATAGCTTGCCCTCCCAGCACAGTCCTTGATGCACCACAATCTGTATCTTGAGGTCCTTAGGAGCTGACAAAGAGGTTGCAGTTCAAAAGACCAGGGGTAACAACTGGATGAGGCAAACCAGCAGTTCGGATGGGGTGGGTGAGAAATCTAATGGGATGCACATGGTCCTCAGCCAGCTGGGAGCAGAGCTCACAGCTGCCAGGCTGCAGTCACCTATCTCCACCACGGCAGAGGAGAGGCATGAGTCAGGGCGAGCCGGTGGCTTTGTAGATCACGGCTGGGAACTTTTCCCCACTTGCGAGGGATGGCAGGAGACCAAGCACAATTAAGAAAATTTTCTCCCCTCCAGGGAGAAAATTCAGGGGCTGGCTGCTAACGACCGCCCTGGGGGTTCCAGTGACTGATACAGCCACCGTAAGCAGGGGCGTAGCCCAGCAGGGAGGGGGTCTAAACCTAGGCTTTCTTGTGGCCAGGTGGAACCTCACCCGGCTCACAGCCAGGTGGGACAGGTTGGATTGACTTTACATTTGATTCAGCCCCCACCACCCTGAAATGCTGCAGCTGACCGTACCCAGGAAGGAACCTGCATGAGACAAGCCCCACCCAATGGGCTGGGAATCCAGATGCCCCCCGCAGCCACCATCACTGAAGCCAGAGTGTGAAGAGGACTCTGTCACCCCACTGGGCATCCCCTTTATCTGCCTTGTCCTGCATGGGGATGACAGACTGTCTGCCCCCATCCACCATGCACCCCCGTCCCTTCCCACAAGAAGATAATTAAAGTCTCAGCTGGGATCAGCGCCCCTGACCCTGCAGAAACCACTCTTTTCCTGGGAGGGCGGCTGCCAGTAGAGAAGGGGTTAACACGATGACACCCTGTAACCACGGCTCCCGCTAAACCCTGATCCCGGGATTTCCCGCTAAACCCTGATCCCGGGATTTCCTTGAGTAGCGGGATTGCAGTGTCTCCTCCCCCCAGTGGATCTGTGCTTTTCCATCCCCTTAGAAAGGCTGATGGCTGGGGTGGCCCCATGGGCTTGGTTCTGCCTGAAATGGGCCGGGCTGAGCCAGGCTGTGGGCTGCGAGTTGGGGGCGGGGGGGCGATGGGTCATTGGGGTCCTCACACTCCTGGAGTCCTGTGCCCTAAAGGAAGAGGGGTCACCCCAATGGGCCTGGCTGAAACAGGGCCTCTGGGATCGGAGTCTCGAACCCTGGATCCTGGCTGGGCTCGGCCCTTCCCACCCTGCAGGGCCCTAGAACCCTAGGTCCGAGCCTGAGAGATTTGTGTGTAGACAGAAGGGTTGGGGCTCAAACCTGAGTCTGCACCAGGGCTTCCATTGCAGCGTAGAGACAGCACTAGGGATCCATTTGGTTGCATGTTTTGTTGCTCCTCTCGGCCAAGCGAAAAGCACCCGCTGCAGGCCTCTTGCATAGCTCCAAGCTCCCCATGAGCTCCCCTCCTCCTCATGCTCCGTGTACCCTCATTCCCCCCGTGCCAGGAAATCTGTATGCACCCCCTATCCCGGGTCTCTGGAGGCTCCCCACCCCCTTCCTGCCATTCCCATAGGCAGACAAATGCCAGCCAGTCGAACCTTAGACCGTGCTGTGCTCAGCCAATTAAGGGCCCACCCGGCCATCATGGAGGTCAGCAGCCGAACAGGAACGGAGCCCAGCTGTCCTGGGCCCAACCCAACGCTCAGACCACCAGACCCTGCGGCTTAGCCCTCACTGTGACGCCCCATCTTCCCCGCTTGGTTATCCATCCCCTCCCTGATCCCTGCCGCCGCCCACCACCTCCCAGGGGAGCTAATTAGAGCACCGAGGAGCCTGTCTCATGGAGTAGCACCCCACTGTGCTAGGCGCTGTACAGGCACAAAACAAAGAGCCCCCAACCCCCAAAGGGACAGCAGTCGAAGAGCCAGCTGTCGCAGCTCGGGGCAACTGCACCTGTCTTGCCCCTTAGCAGTTTGGCAAGGGCCCCCACATTCAACCTTCTGCCCCCTCCCCCCGCCGGTCCCTGTCTTGGGTCCATGTCTCTCTCCCTTCTGACTGGGATGTTCCCAGACATAGGTGCCGATTCTGTGGGTGCTCCAAGACTCAAGCAGGGCCGGATTAGTCTTTTGTGGGCCCTGGCGCCCTGCCCCTCTTCTGCCCCTTCCCCTGAGGCCCCAGCCCCTGCTCCGCTCCTTTGCCCCACGGCCCTGCCCCACTCAGCCTCTTCCCCCACAGGCCCCGCTCACCGTTTGCACGGGGTGGAAGGGGCAGAGAGAAGCACCTGCCGGCAAACCCAAAAGCCGGAGCCCATGTTCCCAGGCCAAACACTTCCCTGTGTAATTCCCAGAAAAGTCAGACTGCCGAACATGTGCGGTGGGTTTAATCCACCGGGGAGGCTGCTGCCGAACGCCAGTTACGGGGTTCGGCAGGGGACGTTTTTGCTTATTATTAGGCCCCATGCAGGTTCGGGGGCGGTGGAGGAATGTGCTATTCAGCTTGCTGGGTTCATCAGCAATGGCCCTGGACTCCAGAGAGGTTACTGATGAACCCGGGAAGCGGAGGAACACAGACCGCCTCCTCGGCCGCCCCGGGAACCTACATGGCACCTATCGAAAGCTCAGGTTCTTCATCCAGAAGAGAAGAGACGAGAGCTTTTCCCATGGGGCAGCTTGGGGTCTGGGGATGTGTGGCGCAGCTGGGGGGGGGGGGCTCTTCTGGGCGCGGGAGGGGGGCTCAGGGCTACCGCTGGCCCAGGACTTCTCTGGCCACATGGTGGGGGAGGGGCTCCTCCAGGCCAGGGGGTGGGGCAGAAGGGGCAGACAGAGGCTCCACCCAGGCTGGGGGGCCTGCTTGGTTTCCCCCTCCGGGATCGTACGCAATGGAATTGCCCAGCTATAAAAGGTACCACACCGCACTTCCTGTGTAAGCCTATTTTATTCCACTGCAGAGGAAACAGTCAAACCAATCACAGAGCTCTGCACGCGTGCAAATAAGCTCCACAGATTTGACCCCCCACTCTCATATGGGTCTGGTAGGAGAAGTCCTTCAGAGCCCCACCCAAGGGGTCTCAGGGGCTTCAAGTTCATCATAGCTTCGGCTCACAACAAGCCCGCTTCTGCCACATTTAGTTCACCCTTTATACAGTCCAGGGGTTGCCCAGCTGGAGTTTCCAGGTGCGGGTAATTAGCAGACAACTGGTTTCTCTCCCCAGGGCTTACCTTCCAAAGGGAGGCATGCACTTCCCTCACCCACAGGGATTTCCTGAAAATCTGCTTTACACCCATTGCAAAAAGTTCCTTCCAAGTGCAGCATATGTCCCAGCAGTTGTATTAATCCTGTCTTCTTGATAATGGAGTTCCAAACAATCCCACTTTAGCACAGAAACATTTGCATTTGTAACTCTATTTGCATAAACCCCAGAGGTGTTAAACAGAAATTCAGTAAGGTTTGTCCGGGATTTCAGAGGTCGTCGCCTGTATCCAAGTTATTGCCCAGCCCTTAATCAGCTGGCCTAGTGTGGATTCTCTGGTGAGCGGTGAGATTGGACCTCCAGCTGAAGCACTTCCCGCAGTCGGGACACGGGTAGGGTCGCTCGCCTGTGTGGACTCTCTGGTGCGATTTGAGGTGGGAGCTCCGGCTGAAGCCCTTCCCGCAGTCGGGACACGGGTAGGGTCGCTCACCCGTGTGGACTCTCCGGTGAGCCGTGAGGCTGGAGCTCTGGCTGAAGCCCTTCCCGCAGTCGGGGCATGCATAGGGTCGCTCACCCGTGTGGACTCTCTGGTGCACCATCAGGTTGAAACGTATGCTGAAGCCCTTCCCGCAGTCCAGGCACTTGTAGGGCTGCTCACCTGTGTGGTTACTCCGGTGGGCCAGCAGGTCTGTGCTCCGGCTGAACGTCCTGCCGCAGTCGAGGCAGCGGTAGGGCCTCTCTGCCATGCGGCGCTCCGGCAGGGCCGTGAGGTCCGTGCAGCTGCCCCCATGGTCTTGTCTGGGTTTCTCTCCTGAGTGGACCCAGGCATGCTGGGCCAGGTTGGAGTGCTGGCGGAAGCTTTTCCCACACTCCTTGCATTTGTAGGGTCTCTCCCCGGTGTGGATCCGCCGGTGCTTGATCAAGGTGGCGCTCTCCGTGAATCTTCTCCCACAGTCGGCACAGACATAGGGCTTTTCCCCGGAGTGTGTCCTCTGGTGCTGCACCAGGTGCGCCCGCCATCTGAAGCCTTTCCCACACTCGGTGCACTGGTAGGGACGCTCCCCCGTGTGGGTGCGCTGGTGTTGGATCAGGGTTAAAGTGTCGCCGAAGTCCTTCCCGCAGTATGTGCAGATGCAGGGCCGTTCCGTGCAGTGGGTCCGGCTGTTCTTGGCCAGGTGGGCGTTCTGGCTGAAGCTTTTCCCACACTCGGCGTATTTGTAGGGTCTGCCTCGCAGGTGGGTCCTCTCATGCTGCACCAGATGCGCCTTCTGGCTGAAGCTCTTCCCGCACTCGGTGCATTTGTAGGGTCTCTCGCCCGTGTGGCTCCGGTGGTGAGTGCTCAGGGCCGTTTTGGTTCTGAAGCCCTTCCCGCAGTCGGGACACGGGTAGGGTCGCTCACCCGTGTGGACTCTCCGGTGCAATTTGAGGTGGGAGCTCCGGCTGAAGCCCTTCCCACAGTCGGGACACAGGTAGGGTCGCTCGCCCGTGTGGACTCTCCGGTGAGCCGTGAGGCTGGAGCTCTGGCTGAAGCCCTTCCCACAGTCGGGGCACGCATAGGGTCGCTCGCCCGTGTGGACTCTCCGGTGCACCATCAGGTTGAAGCGTACACGGAAGCCCTTCCCGCAGTCCGGGCACTTGTAGGGCTGCTCACCTGTGTGGGTGCTCCGGTGGGCCAGCAGGTCCGTGCTCCGGCTGAACGTCCTGCCGCAGTCGAGGCAGCGGTAGGGTCTCTCTGCTGTGTGACGCTCCGGCAGGGCCATACCATCGGGTCCCTCCTCGTAAGGCAGGTTTGAGCGCAGACGGACACTTTCCCTACCCTCAGCACTTTGACGGAGTCTCTGCCCCAAGTGGCAGCACTGGTGTTTGGTCAGGTTCCAAGTCTTGACGAAGCTCTTCCCGCAGTCAGCACAGACGCAGGGTTTGATCCCAGCGTGGATCCCCTGGTGCTGCACCAGATGCGACCGCTGCACGAAGCCTTTCCCACAGTCGGGGCATTTGTAGGGCCACTCCGCCATGTGGGATCTCTGGTGCCGGAGGAGGAGGGCCTTGCTGGGGAAACATTTCCTACACTTGGGGCATGCAAAAGGCCCCCCTGGGAAATGCGTGGCCTGGTGCTCCAGGAGCTTGGACCTGACATGGAAGGCTTTCCCGCAAGCGAGGCATTTATAGGGGCACTCGCCCGAGTGGAGTCTCCGATGCCTCGTAAGGTTGGAGCTGTCAGCGAAGCCTTTCCCGCAATCAGGGCATTTGTAGGGTCTCTCTCCCGTATGGAGCCTCTGATGTGCAATGAGGGTCGACCTCCGATCAAAGCTTCTCCCACAGTCGGGGCACTGGCAGCGTTTCTGCCCCGAGAGGATTCTCTGCTGGATGGTGCGGGCTGCGCTGGGGCTGGAGTTTTTCCCATCCTTGTGCACCGTCTGATGTCTCAGAAGATGTGATCTCCAGCGGAAGCTTTTCCCACAGTGGAGACATCGATGGGGGGTCCCACTTGGATATTGTGGAGGCGCCGAGCTCTGCTGGGGGCTTCCCCCACATCTGTGGGATGTGTCTTCTGGGTGGGTTCCCGGACAGAGCATCTCTCCTGAGCCCTGCCCATGTTCAGCACCTGCATTTCCCGTCCCCCTGTTGTGCTTCCCCTTAAGGTCCAGCAGCAATTTGAGTTTCTTGAAACATCCCTCTTCAGGAGAGGATTTACCCTCTCTCTCCCCGGGCAGGTTTCCCCGCTGCTCCTCCGACCTGCCCTGACTCACGCTAGCTCCTCCCTGGCAAATGTTCCCCTGGGACCTTCCCGAGAATGTCCTGTGTGGTTCTCCCAACTCAGGGCCTCCCTGCTGGGGATTCTCCTCCTCGGTCTCACTGGCCATCCCATCACCTGCTGGGAGAAGGAGAGAACCCAGCATGAGTCACGCCCTGTGCTGGGGAGGGGCCCCGGGGAAAGGGGATCGGCAAGGGTTTGTCACACCGGCAGAAGCTTTTGGATCAGCTGAACAGTCAGCAGGGGAATCTTCCCCAAACTCCTCCCCACAGCTGGCAACTAATGAGCTTCAGCATCGATACCATGGCACAGAGGATAGAGGAAGGGAGGGAATAGCTGCTTGGTGCACCCACAGCTGTTCCCCTCGCTCCATGCGGGAGATCCGGTCAGGTTTAGGGATGGGGAATCCTGCCCAGGGGAAGAGAGAACCGGAGCGATCAGGGCTGGTTACAGATTCCCGGTTTCCTCGTTACACAGACGATACTGGGAAGATCCCAGCCCTACGTTGGCCAGCGAGGACCTGCAACCCGAGTAGGTGGAAAATGCTCATGGTGACTTACCCAGCCAGGTCACATTCTCATAATTCTCCTGCATGACGTCCCTGTAGAGGGCTCTCTGAGTGGGGTCCAGCAGAGCCCACTCCTCCGCGGTGAAATACACAGCCACCTCCTCGAAGGTCACTGCTTTTGCTGCAGCCATTCCCTTTTCATGTCCCCAAGGAGGACCGGACAACCTGGAGTGAAACACGGACGTTCTTCTGCAGCCTGTCAGGCGAGAAGCGCAAATGGGGAAGTTTCAGCAGCGGTTTGAGTCCATTTCACACCCATTTCCCTTTCGCAAGCTCCCTGCAGACAGAAATTCTAGACTGTGCCGTTTGGACGTAACGCACGAGACGTGATTGCCTAAAATACCATCCTAAAGTTCGCCTCCTCGAGCTGTATCCTGAATAAGAATCCTGGTTTTTACAAATCCCGAGCGGGCGTCGCTGGGGTTCAGTTCTGAGTGCCCAGAACTTTTGATAATAGGCCACTTACCCAGGGGCCTGAATATGGATTCAGGAGCCTAAATTTAGGCTCCTGAATTGAAAGATCCCAGCCTGTGTCTTTTTATTTCAGCACAATGCCGCTCCCCCACCAGGACTGAGAGATTTTCAAACTCTCTCCTTAAATTTAAGAACGTTAATGGGACCGTTTGCACAGTCCCAAACAAATGGATGTGCGCGTTACCGGGCTCAGCTCCTCCGTGAGGAAACAAACCTTATCAAGGGCGGAAATAATCCGTGTTCCCGCACAAGAGACATTCATTCCACTCTCATAACAAATCTGCATCCAAATCGATTTTCACCAGACAACAGAGAGGAAAGCGCCTGACCTAGGAATTCTCTTTCTGTCAAATGTAAAATTTCCATCCCCAAAGGCGCTGGAATTGGTCAAACTCTGACAGCACTCTTCAAATGGCAAAACGTAATGCTCCCCACCTCCACGGCCCCTGCTCAGAACAAAGGCTAAGAGGTTTAGCCTCAAATGCTCCAAAATAAATTCACCTGTTATTATTAATTATTATTATTATCAACATTTATTATTTGTATTAGCATAGCACCTGGGGACTCCAGGCATGGACCGGGGCCCCCCCTGTGTTAGGTGCTGTCCAACGACAGAACCAAACGCTACTCCCTACCCCACAGACCTTCCTGTCTAAAACGACCCAGACAGACACAGTGTGTGGAAGGGGTACAACACACAAGCGGAGCGAACAACGTGGTCGTGGCAAACGGCATGCTAGTACCATGGTGGGTTGTTGTTTTTTGTAGAGGAGGGGTCAGTTAGGCGGGGATCAGCTCAATGGAAAGGAAAGGGTAGGGGAGGTGGTGAGGAATAGAGAGGCATGGAGCGATGCTGAGATGAAGAGACTGTGTGCATTGCTTAGGGATGTAAAAGGTTAACTGGTTAACTGGTAAGCGTTAGGCTTACCGGTTAACAAACCTTAACCGTTAACCCTGGCCGCTCCATGCCGGGCCGGCGGGAGGGATCCCAGCCCCGGCCACAATGGCTGGAGCAGCCCCAGCTGCGTCGGGCTGGCCAGCCAGAGGGACCACACCATCAGCCGCACTGGCCGGACCCCAGCCCTGGTCACGTCGGCGGAACCCCAGCCCCAGCTGGGTCGGAGCGAGGCCCCAGCCTCCCCCACCCCCGTGCTAGGCCCCCCAGAGCTACTTTGGTTAACGGTTAACCGGTTAAATGATATAATTTTAATAGTTTAACTGGTTAACTTTTAAAACCACTATTTACATCCCTAGTATGGCTACACTGCATCCAGCTATGGCATTGCAGCTAAGCTGCCACTTCCTACATCTCTGGAACGTTTTTTTGTTTTGTTTTTTTCCCCATCGCTGTCGTCCCTCCACCTCTCCGAGGGAGGTAGCTAGGTCGGGGGATCAATCGTTCCGTCGACCTAGCCGCGTCCGCACCAGGAGTTAGGTCAACCTCACTACAGTGCTGAGGGAGTGACAATTTTTAAGTGTAGACCAGGCAGGAAGGGAATGGGAGGGTTGCAGCAATTAGCCAGCCAGCACAGGGCAGAGCAAGTCCAATTGCGGCTGTAGAAAGCTGTCGAAAGTTCTCAGAGGGCTAGTCCGGTGAAGACACTGTGCCGACGAGAGGGAGAGCTCTTCTGTAGCCATAGAGTTACCACGTGGCTCATATTTCACTGGCCTGGCCAGTTTTTTTTATGGATTTGCTAGTTGTCAGAAAAATAAGTCAATCTGCCAGGTTTTTGGTTTCTGTACATGGGTCTAAAGATTTTCATTTTATTCTCACAATACACTGGGCTATCCATTGTTGAAAGTTTCTGTGTCCAGCTAAAGGTGCTGCAACGTTCCCATCTGTATTTCCCGCAGTTTAAGCAATAACAGATCAAAACCGTGGAAAATACAGCAGCTGTCTGCCCATCCATACGCAAGCGCAGCGCACAGGTGCGAGAGAGAGGGTACGGGTAGGGCCCTACCAAATTCACGGCCATGAAAAACGCGTCACGGACCGTGAAATCTGGTCTCCCTCCGTGAAATCTGTATCGTGTAGGGTAAAAGCACACAAAAAACCAGATTTCACAGCAGAACCAGCATTTCTCAAATTGGGGGTCCTAACCCACAAGGGAGTTGCACAGCGGTCGCAAGGTTATTTTGGGGGGTTGGGGGGTCACGATATTGCCACCCTTACTTTTGCATTGCTGCCTTCGGAGCTGGGTGGCCAGGAAGCAGCAGCCATTGGCCAGCATCCCAGCTCTGAAGGCTGCGCCCTGCCAGAAGCAGCGCAGAAGTAAGGGGGGCAATCCCGTACCTGCCAGCCGCTCTGCTGCTGGTGGCCGTCAGAGCTGAGTTCCCGGCCAGCAGCCGCCGTCTCCAGCTGCCCGCTCTGAAGGCAGCACAGAAGTACGGGTAGCAGCACCGTAACCCCCCCCTACAATAACCTTGCGACCCCCCCCCCCACAGCTCCTTTTTGGGTCAGGACCCCAACAATTACGGCACCGTGAAATTTCAGATTGAAATAGCTGAAATCACTAAATTTATGATTTTTTAAAATCCTAGGACCGTGAAATTGACCAAAATGGACTGTGAATTTGGTAGGGCCCTAGGCATGAATCACTATAAGTGACAGTTGAAGGGGGGTGGGGGTTGCGAAGTTGCCTCGTGGTTGGGGGCTGCATGCTGGATTTTTTTTTTGATGGGGGGGGAGATTTCAAAGGTGGTAATCATAGAATATCAGGGTTGGAAGGGACCTCAGGAGGTCATCTAGTCCAATCCCCCTGCTCAAAGCAGGACCAGTCCCCAACGTTTGCCCCAGATCCCTAAATGGCCCCCTCAAGGATTGAGCTCACAACGCTGGGTTTAGCAGGCCAATGCTCAAAGAGCTGAGTTATCCCTCCCCCCACTCAGCAGGGGCAGCAACTGGCTTCTCCTCTTTCTGCTCCTTACCTTGATCCCAGGAGGGTCAGTCTGCCCCGGGACGCTGCAGCGATGGATCCGGGCAGGGCTGGGAGCTGGGATCCTCCCTCCCCACTTCTTGCTCCTGCTGGTCTCTCTCTCCTCTCCATCCCCTGGAGGCTCAGCGGGCAGAGCACAGAGTCCCCACCCCGGGCTGGGCACAGAGGGGGCTTTGAGGAGGGGTTTCTCCGGCTCCCCCCCCCCCCGGGGTGGCTACCGAAGCGGCAGCACCCAGCGGCTCCCTTCTCAGCCGGGAAGTTCAGCCCCAGATCTGCTGCTCACAGGAAACCCAGGGAGAAAGAGACAGAGAGAGGGAGGCAGCAGGCTCCCAGCCCTGAGCAATATACCAGAGCCATCTAGTGGGGACAGCTGCAGAAACCTCGCCCCAAGATTGCAGCCCACAAGCGGGTCTGTCTGTGGGGAAAGCACCCCCCCCCCCGGGACTTCCCCCTTGTGCGGGCCCTAGAAATGCCCTGGCTCGATGGTAGCCAAGGTGGGGGAGGTGATATCTTTGACTGGATCAGCTTCTGTTGGGGAGAGAGACAGTCTTCCCAGCTTACACAGAGCCCTGCCTCAGGGCTGGGGAACTAAGCAGAGCATCACAGCTAAACCAAGGTGGGACACTTGGGCCGAGATCAGGAGCTCGCAAACATTAAACCCTTTAAATGGGGTTGCCAAGGCTGGTGTTAGACTTGCTGGGGCCTAGGGCCGAAGCCAAAGCCTGAGCCCCATTGGCCAGGGCACAAGCTTTTGGGCTTCAGCTTTGGCCCCAGGGCAGCGAGCAGGGCTCGGGTGGGCTCCAGCTTCGATCCCCCCTCCTGGGGTTGTGTAGTAATTTTTGTGCTCAGAAGGGGGGTCACGGTGCAATGAAGTGTGAGAACCTGTGGCCTAGATGAGAGGGCCAGAGAGACAGCGGGAGCACAGGGAGATAGGTAATGATCAGGCAGAATTATAATTTGCACAGGTATATATGCCTGGCAATGGATAGCTGGGGACATGCGGGGCTAGACTTGTCTGGGGGATCAGTGGACCAATAGACAGATCTGGGTGTTGTGTAATTATTCTAGTTGCTCAGCGCGGGAGTGCACTAAATTTCTCAATCCAGGCTTGGTAGAACTGGGTTTTTACTGGTTTATAATTTGAATGGATAATACCCATGTTTATTTTTAAGCAGTTTTCTCTCTTTAAACTTTCATGGTTCCAGAGGGTCAGACAATGGGGGGGAGGTTCATTGTGGAATGACACGAAGATTCAAAAAGTCCAAGTTTTAGTACCATTAAAACACCAGCCGTCACCATCCCATGTTGTAATATGCCAAATAAATGGCCCTAAATCAAATTCGACTAAGCTGCCAAGAGGCATGTTTCTTACTTCGCTTTGCGGTACCTTTCAGTTGTTATCCATGGGGAGATTGGTTCATGGGTTTGTGCCTGGGCGGTGAAATCCACGTTGACGGATGTTTACAGGTGAGCCTCTAACTAATCCTTCCAAGCCTACCTCAATCCCTTGCCCAAATGACCCCACATTTGGATCACTAATCAGGGCACCAGAACGGGGGGGCTAAGGGCCGTGGCCCTCCCACTTTTTACTGTCCATAAGGGCGAGCGGGGAGGGAAGGGTGCCTTGGGGGAAGAGACAGTGCAGGGACAGGGTCTGGGGCAGAACGGGTGGTGCAGAGGCAGAGCCTGGGGGAGGAATGGGCCATGTGAGGGTGGGGGACCAGGGAGAAGAGGCAGTGCGGGGGTGGGGCCTCGGGGGGCGGTGCAGCGCATGGGGCATTGGTTCGGCCGCATGTGGCCCCCCACTTTTAGGGCATTTCCGCTGCTCCCGTCACTGATCACAAAGCATGTGAGTGAGGAGTGCTGTGCTGCGTCTTTCTCCTCCCCTTTCCCCCCCACAGCATATCGCCTCCTCTGCCCCATTTCCAGCTCACCCTCCCTTTCCCGTCCCATTTAGTCACTAGCAGTTCTGAAGCCAGGTATGCACAGGTGTGTTGGTAGAACCTGTGACCTCGAAGAAAAGTGGGTTTGTTTTGGTTGGGGGGGGGCAGTATCTCAGTAATCTCATGCTCAAATGACCTGACATTTGAGTCACCAACCCTCTCCTGGGCCCCCGTAAGGCACAGCAAATTGCAGGACAATCTGGGTAGGCACACAGATTTGGGGGACGCCTAGGGCTTGTCTACACTTGAAACGCTTTTGCAGCTGCAGTTAAAACTCTGGTTTCAGAGTAGCAGCCATGTTAGTCTGTATTCGCAAAAAGAAAGGAGTACTTGTGGCACCTTAGAGACTAACCAATTTATTTGAGCATGAGCTTCGTGAGCTACAGCTCACTTCATCAGATTCATCACATCTGATGAAGTGAGCTGTAGCTCACGAAAGCTCATGCTCAAATAAATTGGTTAGTCTCTAAGGTGCCACAAGTACTCCTTTTCTTTTTGGTTTCAGAGTAGCAGCCATGTTAGTCTGTATTCGCAAAAAGAAAAGGAGGACGTGTGGCACCTTAGAGACTAACCAATTTATTTGAGTGTAAGCTTTCATGAGCTCACGAAAGCTTATGCTCAAATAAATTGGTTAGTCTCTAAGGTGCCACACGTCCTCCTTTTCTTTTTAGTTAAAACTCTGTATGTCCTGTAGGCTCCTCTGTCTGCCCATACTCAGGCTCAGTGTAACCCTTTGCAGGTCATGAGCTTTAGGTCTGGTCAACTTAGATACTTTGCTCAAGGGTGTGAAAAAGCCACCTCTCTAGCAACACAGTTCGCCCGACCTAGCCCCCGGGTTGACAGTGCTAGGCCGGGTTACGTCTGCATGGCAAATTAAGCCCGGGCTTGTAGTCTTGGTGTTTGTGGACTTGCTTGTGGACAGGTGGCACCTGGAATTGCAGCGTCCACGCTGCATTGTAAACCTGGCCTTACGATTGCCAGACCTGGGTCTCCCCAAGACGTAGGCCTTCTGACTCAGATTTGCGGCTTGAGCCACGTCCACACTGCAAAATGACAGGCCTTGGACCCGAGTCATAGCGGGACTTGGGCTCTCACCCACCCCCACAGCGAGGTCCTAGGACTTGGGTCCAGAGCGCTTCCTGAGCCGAGTCAGACTGATTTGTGTGTGGACAGAAAAGGGGGCTTGGACTCAACCCTGGGTCAGAGCCCGGGCTTAGTGTGGAGTGTAGACATCAGGCTGGTCTAAGCTAGGAAATTGGTTGGTATAACTCAGGGGTGTGAAAAATCCACTACTTTGAGTGATGCCGTTAAACCGACCTAAGCCCCAGCCTGGCCAGCGCTAGGTCGAAAGGAGAATTAGCTCCTGGGGGTGTACTGTCCCAAATTGCTACCTGACATCATTTGCTACTTAGGGTGCGTACTGAGCATGCTCAGTAACATGTGCTGAAGCCGCCCGCTGCCCTCACCCTGCCCTTACTTGGCACCAGATTCTTCTGACTGCTTTTTACAGGGGTTAGAAAGGGGCAAAGTGGAGGAGGCGGGTGGCCAGGGGGTGGAAATTGACTGGCCCGGGGTGGAGGTGCGGGTGGGGGTCAAGCAGCTGGAGGCAGGGTAGCAACTTGTGACAGAGCATGGGGTGCGTGTCGGGGGGAGGTGTCTCTCCTCCACATGGGGTTGCTGGGCCGAGGGTTGGCCCCAGCCGGGCCCCATTTCCCCTGGATAGAGACTTTCAGTCCTACAGGGGGGCCGCAACAATTTGTACAGTGGGGGGGGGGGAGCGGGGGCGGAGAGCCATTGACCCAAACCGCAAACCCTGCATATGATGGGAACCGCTTCAAGCCAGGGGGGGCGGCAGCCCCCCCACCCCCAGTCCAGACCTCTGGGAGCTTGGGAAGGGGGGGTCCCCGGAGCTGCCCCCGCGAGTGGGCTCTGGGTCTGGCTCAGGGACGGGAGGCGGCAGCCCTCTCCCGCTCCCCCGGCCGGGCGTTTCCTGTGATCAGCAGATCCGGGGGCTGAACTTCCCGGGTTAGCGGCGGCTGCTTCCGCAGCGCCGAGCCAGGCCCCCGCTGTGCCCAGCCCGGGTGGGGACCGTCTGCGGCGGCTGCCACCAGCCCCGGGCTCTGCCCGCACCAGCCCCCGGGGCCGGAGCCTGCAGGTGATGGGGGGACCCGGGGGAAAGGGCCGGGGCCGGGCAGGACAGTGACTCTGCACCCAGGGCCCCTGCTCGCCCCAGCTCTGCTCCCCGGGGATCCTGCGAGTCCCAGAGCTGCTGCCCCCTCAGCCCCCCGCCGCCCCCAGGCTCTCAGCCGCTGATCCGGCGCGGGGAGAGCGAACGCCCCCGGGAACAGGACAGTCTCCTAGGCAGAGGGGGAAGGAGACAGAAAAATGGGGGGTGGGGGGGAGTGGGAGGGGCAGCCGGAGCAATAAGTGGGGAAGGAGGTTCCCAGTTCCCAGCCTTGGCCAAATCCATCCCTGGGCAGAGCTGACTTTCCTGGGACCCAGGTGAGGAGCTGGGAGAGGAAAAGCCAGGTCCTGTCTTGCCTGAGTCCTGGGGGACAGTGTCGGGCGGGGATCCCCCAAAGCGGCCCCTTTGACTTGGCTCTTTGCTGGCGTTTGGTCCCGAGACTCTGTCACTGGGTGGGTTCAGTACTGCTGGGAAGGGCCGGGGCTACGCTGGGATAAAGTGACCCAGCCTGGCCCAATCCATCTGTCTGCAGGGAGAGGGGGGGGGGGGTTCAGGGGGTGATATGGACTCAGGCCCCACCCCAGTCGCCTTGCTCCATCCTGGCAGGCTGCCGAATAACGGCCACAATTCGCTCTGGATCCTCTCGCTCTTTGGGGGACAAACTTTCTGGGACTCGGCTCATCTGAGGCCGTATTGTTTGGAAGAGACAAAAGCCAGAGGAGGCGGAAATGTCCCCATCTGTGGGATGGGGGAGCAGCTCCCCAAAGCACCCAGTTCTGTTCAGGAGGGGGAGTCTAACCAATCAGCACTCCTGGGAACGGCATATGGGGTTTTGGGGGAAGCTGGGATCGCCCCAGGAGCAGCAGGTGCTGAGTGGGGCTCTCTTGTTCTTTCAGCTGCTTTAAAGGAGCCAGCTGCGTGTTCCCGATGGAGAAGTGGCTCTTCCTAGATCCTCGGCAGAGGGCCCTGTACAGAGATGTCATGCAGGAGAGCTATGAGACCCTGATGTCCCTCAGTAAGGAACTGTCTGCCTTCGGTTATGGGATGGTCTGCCCTGGCTGGGATGATTTAGTTGCGGATTGGTCCTGCTTTGAGCAGGGGCTTAGACTAGATGACCTCCTGAGGTCGCTTCCAACCCTGATATTCTATGATTCTATGAAGTTGTCTCATACGCTGGGGCTATGCACGGTGCTGGTCAGCATGAGTAAGAGCAGCTCCAAGGCTGCTCTAAGTTACTCTTTGCTTCTCATGGACCTCTGTGCTCCCTGGGATGCAAAGAACAGCTCTGCCTTAGTGACCGGAGTCCCACAGTCCTCACAAAGCACCTTTGAAATCGGTAGGAGTTTTGTCTTGTCCCCCTGCAGCTCTGGTACTGGCCACTGTCCGAGATAGGCTATTGGGCTAGATGGACCATTGCTCTGCCCCGGTTTGGCCGTGCTTATGTTGGGTGAATACTGCCAGGATGAATTAGTAACAATATTTGATTTTGTGTCACCTCGGGTGTAACAGATCAGAAGCCAGCCCTACCTCGTAGGACACGAAACACTTTGGAAAAATTCCATTGAAATCGACATTTTCCCAGTGGGGGAAATGTCAGTTTTGACAGAACCCCATTTTCCAATGAAAACGTTTCTACCAGCTCAGTTCATTCAAGATCGTAGCTTCATTGGTGGGCACGAAGGGGCGGAGTGAAGGGCTGGCTTCAAGTGGGCACTCAAGCACCGAGGCCATGGAGGTTCCATAAGGCTTTGACCCGAAAAAAGCAAAACCGCGTCTCTGCCCCGGTCTGGCTTGTGAGCGCATCATGGCTCAGCTGTAGGGCTGGATTCACGACGATTTTTGTTTTCATTTCATTTCCGAGGTTGTGGTTCGGTTTTGTTTAAGGAGAAGCAGGTTCGATTACCAAGGCTGCCCGACTCGCCGGCTTGCACAGAACTGCAAATAGAGCTCACGGATTAGAGAAAGGGAATGAATTGGTGGGTAGGGTTTTGGGCTGGGATTTAAGAGTGCTGGGTTCATAGATTCATAGGTATTAAGGTCAGAAGGGAGCATTATGATCATCTAGTCTGACCTCCTGCACAATGCAGGCCACAGAATCTCACCCACCCACTCCTGCGATAAACCTCTCACCTATGTCTGAGCTATTGAAGTCCTCAGATCATGGTTTAAAGACTTCAAGGTGCAGAGAATCCTCCAGCAAGTGACCCGTGCCCCATGCTACAGAGGAAGGCGAAAAACCCCAAGGGCCTCTTCCAATCTGCCCTGGAGGAAAATTCGTTCTCGACCCCAAATATGGCGATCAGCTAAACCCTGAGCATATGGGCAAGATTCACCAGCCAGATACCCCGGAAAGAATTCTCTGTAGTAACTCAGATCCTACCCCATCTAACAGCCCATCACAAGCCATTGGGCCTATTTACCATGAATATTTAAAGATCAATTAATTGGCAAAATCATGTTATCCTATCATACCATCTCCTCCATAAACTTATCGAGTTTAATCTTGAAGCCAGATAGGTCTTTTGCCCCCACTGCTTCCCTTGGAAGGCTATTCCAAAACTTCACTCTTCTGACGGTTAGAAACCTTCGTCTAATTTCAAGTATAAACTTCCCGATGGCCAGGTTATATCCATTTGTTCTTGTGTCCACATTGGTACTGAGCTTAAATAATTCCTCTCCCTCTCCGGTATTTATCCCTCTGATATATTTATAGAGAGCAATCATATCTCCCCTCAACCTTCTTTTGGTTGGGCTAAACAAGCCAAGCTCCTTGAGTCTCCTTTCATAAGACAAATTTTCCATTCCTCGGATCATCCTAGTAGCCCTTCTCTGTACCTGTTCCAGTTTGAATTAATCCTTCTTAAACATGGGAGACCAGAACTGCACACAGTACTCCAGGTGAGGTCTCACCAGTGCCTTGTATAATGGTACTAACACCTCCTCTGCCACAGCCTTCCTGTGTGACCATGGCCAAGTCACTGCATCTCTCTGGGCCTTAGTTTCCCCATCTGTAAAACAGGTATAATGAACCTTGCTTGTCTGTTTAGTTTGTAAACTCTTGTGGGAAGGAACTGACTCTCAGTTTGTGTCTGTGCGGCATATGGCACAACGGGGCCCTGATCTCAGCTGGGGCAGGGACTGTCTCTCCCTGTGTGTCTGGGCAGTGCCCGGCACAACGGGGCCCTGATCTCAGCTGGGGCAGGGCCTGTCTCTCCCTGTGTGTCTGGGCAGCGCCCGGCCCAACGGGGCCCTGTAACACACATAATAGTGACAGGTGCTATATAGCAGAACTGCTGAGTGTCTTGAACTCTGCCATCTTCAAATGCGGCCACCAGCAGGTGATTTGCCCCGTGCCTCCTGAGTACCCAGGACAATTCATCCCTTCATATTAACTGGACAACTTGTGTCCTTAAAGCCCGGAGCTCAGGATTCCCCTCTCCTTAACGCTGACTGACCCCGGGGTGCTGCATATGGGCCATGGAGCCATACCAAGGATGCTTCACGGGTGGGGCAGCTGCATGTGGCAGGGGCCATAGGTGCCCCGCTCATGCATCTAAGGAACACAGCTTGCCTCAGGAAATCCCGAGGGATCAACCCAGTAGCAGTACCGGGGCCAGCCAATAGGGGGAGACAAGCTCACACACTGCACCAGGCCCAGCTGGTGAGAAGGCAGGAGAGACAGGCCAGGAGGTGGGGTGCGGTGGGACTGGGAAAGCCCACGCTGGGTGGGAGGTGGCGGCTGATGCAGAGTATTAAGGAGGCTGTCAGGCGAATGGCTTGACAAACCCTAATCTCTCCCCTCTTTTATCCCCGTACCCGTGCGCAGAATATCCCATCCCTAAACCGGACGTGATCTCCCGGCTGGAGCAAGGGGAAGAGCCATGGGTCCCCCCGGATCTCCAGGGCTCTGGGGGAAGAGACCTCCCGAGAGACGCCAGCCCAGGTGAGGAAACCCGTTCGACCAGCTCAGAAACCATCTGGGAGCAAAGTCGGGAGCTGGCTTTCCCAAGGAAGCCCCCCTGGGAGCTCTCCCACTTCCGGCTCAGCACCTTGGCTTGACGGCCAAGCTTTTTGGGGGGCCCTTCCACTCAACATGACAGTGTCTGCAACGACTTTGGGATGCCACATCCGCTCGATTCCAAAGTTTCGGGGCATATTCTCGGCACGAGCGGTCAGAACCCGATCCACTTTGGGGAAAATCAGACAACCGAAAATGGGGGGTGGGGGGGGAGACGAGACACATGGAGCCCCTGCCAGCTGAGGAGCCCAGCCAAGATTCCAGCACCTCTGCAGTTGTCTGTTGATCAAGCCGCTGGTTGATGGTGCCGTGAGCGCTTTCTAACATAACTACTGCCTGGTTTCCTCTCTGCCCGTCCTCCCACTGGCCCCCGGAATGACTTCTCTCCCAGACAGAAAGAAGAGGGGCATTCACAGCCTCTAGAAAAGGGGGCACAGCAAGATTGGGGGTGCACACAGAGCCCTTGGCACAGTGGGAACAGGGAGTATAGGGGTGTCACGGAGTCCCTGGGCGATGCTCTGGAACTGCTCCCCATGAAGCCAGTCAGGACTCTGGGGCAGTCGCCTTTCTGTGAGCAGCCTGTCTTCAGGACACGCAGCTCACACAGCTTCCACCTTCCTGGGTCTGACCTCGGAGCATTCAGCATCCTCTGCCCCTCCGTGCGCTTCCCACAGCGAGTCCGCTCAGGCGGGGCTCCTGGGGAAGCCAGAGGGTCCTGCACCCCAACTTCGCAGTCAGACGTGACTCTCAGCCAGCCAGTAAAACAGAAGGTTTATTAGACGACAGGAACATGGTCTAACACAGAGCTTGCAGGTGCAGAGAACGGGACCCCTCAGCTGGGTCCATTTTGAGGGGCAGTGAGCCAGACAACCACGTCTGCCCTTCACTCCATGTCCCAGCCAGCCCCAAACTGAAAACCCCCTCCAGCCCCTCCTCCTCTGGGCTTTGTTCCTTTCCCGGGCCAGGTGGTCACCTGATTCCTTTGTTCTCCAACCCTTCAGCTCTCACCTTGCAGGGGGGGAAGGGCCCAGGCCATCAGTTGCCAGGAAACAGGGTGTTGGCCATTCTCTGTGTCCAGACTCCTGCACACACCTGCCCTCTAGGGCTCTGCAATGATCATACACCCTTACCCCACCCCCTAGAGACTTAAGAACTGCCTAGGGGAAACTGAGGCACCCCCACACTATTCAGAGGAAACATTAAGAACAGTCCCACTTCGTCACAAGGGGGAAGGGAGGAGTGAGGAGAGGGGGTGGGGAGTCCCTGCAATGCCCCCCCAGCACATGGCTTGGCTTACATCTGGACTCTCTCCTTACCCCAGGGACAGCAAGCGAGACTGAAGGGGAGGCTCCACAGACAGGAGGCCCTGAGACGGCATCATCGGGAAGCAGCGGGGGGAAGGTGGCCCGCAATGCCAAAGGGGGCAAGGCCGGCAGGTCCGGAGGCCAGCAAGGAAAGCCGCCGGGGAAGAGACAGGGCAGAGAAGCTCCATGCAACGGAAGCTTCAAGAAAGTCCGGGATGGGGCAGCCCCGCGGAGAGGCAGATTGGGGGAGAGCCCCGAAGCCAGGCTCAGTGTAGACGGTAGCAGGCAACTTCCTGCAGGAGAGGAGCCCTCTCTATGCCCGGAGTGCGGGGAGAGCTTTACGGAGAGCTCCGCCCTCCTTACCCACCAGAGATCCCACGCGGGGCAGGGCTCCTACCCGTGCCCGGAGTGTGGGGAGAGCTTCATCGAGAGCTCCGCCCTCCTTACGCACCAGCGGTCCCACGCGGGGCAGGAGCCCATCCCGCGCCGCCGTCCCCAGGCCCCCGGCGGGAAGCGTTACCGCTGCTCGGAGTGCGGGGAGCGCTTCCGGGTGGGTTCCCACCTGGCCACTCACCTGCGCCTCCACACCGGGATCAAGCCCTTCCAGTGCGCCGACTGCGGGAAGGGCTTCGACTGGGGCTCGCACTACGCCCGGCACCGGCGGCTGCACACCGGCGAGCGGCCCTTCCAGTGCGCCGACTGCGGGAAATGTTTTGGGCGCAGCTCCCACCTCTACCGGCACCAGCGGGCCCACGCCGGCGGGAAGCCCCTGGAGTGCCCGGACTGCGGCAAGGCCTTCAACAGCAGCGCCTTCTTCCACAAGCACCAGCGGGCCCACGCAGCCCCCCGGCAGCCCCACCGCTGCCCCGAGTGCGGGGAGAGCTTCCCCCGCAGCGCCGCTCTGGCCCGGCACCGCCGGAGCCACCGGGGAGACAAACCCTTCCGGTGCGGGGACTGCGGGAAAGGCTTTGCCTGGAGCTCCCACCTGGAGCGGCACCGGCGGGTCCACACCGGCGAGCGGCCCCACACCTGCGGGGAGTGCGGGGAGGCCTTCAGCCAGAGCGCCCACCTGGTGAAACACAAGCGGGTGCACACAGGCGAGAGGCCCTACGGGTGCCCGGACTGCGGGAAGAGCTTTGGGGACAGCTCAGCACTGGCCAAACACCGGGGGTGCCACGCCGGCGGGGAGAGACGCCGCCTGGCTGCGAAACGCCCAGCGGCAGAGAGACCCCATCAGTGCGGCGACTGTGGGAAAAGTTTTGCTCGGAGCGCGGCGCTGGTGAGGCACCGGAAAAGCCACACCGAAAGGCAGCCCGACAGTGGGGAGAGCTCAGCCCAGACGAGCCCCGCGGGGGACAACTCCCCCCATCCCTGCCCCGACTGCGGGAAAAACTTCCCTCGTGGCTCCCAGCTGGACAGACACCGGCGCCTCCTCCACGCAGCGGGTCCGCCCCACCAGTGCCCACAGAGCGCCGCGCTGACCAAGCATCGCTGGGGCAACAGACCCTTCCGGTGCGGAGACTGCGGGAAAGCCTTTGCCTGGAGCTCGCACCTGGCCCGGCACCGACGGGTCCACACCGGCGAGCGGTCCCACACCTGCGGGGAGTGCGGGGAGGCCTTCAGCCAGAGCGCCCACCTGGTGAAACACAAGCGGGTGCACGCAGGCCAGCAGAAGAGCTCTGGGCACAGCTTGGCGCTGGCCAAGCACCGGGCTGGCAGAGAGGACACATCCCACGGCTCCGGCGACTGCGGGAAAAGTTTCAGCTGCGTCACGGACCTCGACCAGCACCAGCCTTCCCACGCGGCGGAGAAACCCTACCGGTGCGGGGACTGTGGGAAAAGCTTCAGCCAGGCACCGGCGCTGGCCAGGCACCGGCGGCTCCACGCCGCTGGGGGGAAACCTTTCCGCTGCGCCGACTGTGGGAAGGGCTTCGCCTGGAGTTCCCACTGGGAGCGGCACCGGCGTGTCCACACCGGTGAAAAGCCTTTCCAGTGCGCCGACTGCGGGAAATGCTTCGGGCGCAGCTCCCATCTCTACCGGCATCAGAGGAACCACCCCGGAGAGAAACCCTCCTCCCAAGGGGCTGAGTAAGGGGGAACGCGACCACCAGGAAGGGACCCTAATGAGACAACAGGGAAACCAACCCCAGGAACCTTCCTGCCAAAGGTGCAACTAAGAGGGAAGGTGTCTGCTAGGGACGAGATAACAAGGAGTCCACCTGGGAGAGGAACCCCTTTGAGTTTGATCCGTATTAGGCATCGGGGAATCCTCTCAGGGCCAAGAATTCCAATCCACGCACTAACTGGGGCTAATGTTCGTCCATCACGCGTGTTCGGCTGCACCCAGCCGCTGATCAGTGAGCCCCTAGTGGCTTGCACGCCATGAAGAGGAATCTCCTCCTCTCACCCAAGTTGGATGGGAAGCAGCAGAGGGAGGGGAGGTGCCGTCACTTTCCCTAAACCACATCGACCCCTGACGTCCACCCTCACGCACGCCCTCTCCCCGGTCTCTATCTCCCCTCCACTGGGCAGGCGTCAGGGCTGCCTCCCGCTCGTCCGTGGATGAAATAAAGGCTTGAGAGAGAAACTTTTCGCACAGAACAATCCATGACCCATAGGTGGTTTCAGAGGAGGCACTGGACAGAAGTTGGGGAAAGGCAGAGGTACCGCTTCTCAGTGGGCAGCACTCAGGCACTCTGGAGGAGAGGAGGCCAGGCTGCAAAGGTCGAAAAGGAGAACGCCTGGAAATGGGAGGCAGAACGGACCCATGGGACTCACTGCTGCAGGATAAGGGCCCATTTCGGGATGGTTTCCGGCAAGCGTTCACAGGCTAAGGGCGCTAAGTCCCAGGAGCAAGCGGGGCTGGGTGCCACATTTATGTCGTCCCCCATTAGCCCGAGCATCCCATTTATACCACTCCCCATTAGCCAGAATGCCAGGTTTATACCATTAGCCAGAGTGTCACATTTATTCCATTCCCCTTTAGTCAGTGTCACATTTATATCATTCCCCATTAGCCGGAGTGTCACGTTTACACCATTCCCTGTTAGCCAGAATACCACATTTTATACCGTTCCCCATTAGCTCAGCGATTCTTCGAGCTGCTGTGTCAGGAAACATTTCAAAGCAGGATCCAGGATTTTCACCAGAACCGACGTTGGTAGTCGAGTCTGGGAGACAAGAGGCTGAAATGGGGGGGAAGGAAGCTAGATCTTGATCCCTTTAGTGGTTCCTGATGCAGTCAGGAGGAGGGAGGCGGGAGCTGGTCGAAATGCTGGGATTGAACCAGGGACAGCCAGAGTTAAAAGCATGAGTAGTCTGCTACAGCTTGATTTAAAGCTTTGAGTCAGGTTCTGTCACAACTCATACCTTGTGGATTGGCACAGAGGGGGACTGGGAATGAACGCTCACCCAGTGGATTACATAGGGACACCACCAGGTTTGTTCTTGGGGACCTGGTGACTGAGAACTGTTAACTCAATGCAGGGGCGAGAGGCAGGAAATCTCTCGGGGGCCGGCTGGAGCGTGGGAAGGGCTGGGAGGCCATCCCAGGAGAAGTAACCCCGTAATTCTTAGGGGATGACCCTGAGCGGAACTGAGAAGGAAGCTGGGGGAGATGACGCCCCTTCGTGGGTCCTGAATCCAGACCAGGTCCCGTCACTTAGCGCAGCTGGTCACCTGTCCTGGGTGGGGATGACAGAGACTGTCTGTGTCCCATTCACCCTCACAAACCTGCCCAGGGCGGCATAAAAGCCTCAACTGGGATTTGAGACCTGGAGGCTGCTATGACTTGCCCCCTGCTGATGAGGCCACCTGCTGTCCTATCCAGTCCCACTAGCAATTGGATTACTGAACTCCACTTTCTCTGGGCATTTGAATTGTTGCCTATTAGAAAACAGTGCAGCCTAGCAGGTCTGTAAATCAGGAGACCCGGGCAAGACAGGTACCCCGCCCTAGGGGGCAGCATGCTCCAGCTAGAGCTCTGGTAGCAGGACACCTGGGTTCCAGGGGCACAAGCACAGGGCGGGTCAGGGGGCCACGGCCCTCCCACTTTTTATTGGCCCGGGGAGGGGCAAAGAAGAGTGACCAGGGGGCGGGGTTTGGGGGGGAAGAGGCAGGGCGGGAGCAGGGCCTCAGGGGGAAGGGGTGATGCAAGGCCAGGGCGGGGGTCAGGGAGAAGGGGCAGCATGGAGGTGGGGCCTCATAGGAAGGGGCGGTGTGGGGGCACGAGCTCAGGGAGAAGGGGTGTCGTGGGGGCTGGGCCTCAGGGGGAAGGGGAATGTCAGAGAAAATGAACCATTGTGCTATCAATTCGTCATTAAAATAATATTTCTCCATTTGCTACATTGGTTTTTAAAAACTCCCCCTGTAATTGTTGTCTTCTCAGGTTCGACAGTGCAGGGCAAACAGTATTTAAAAGTGTGGGATTTTTTCCAGAATTAGGTTGTTGGGGTTTTTTTCCCTCTTAAGTCTTCAGGAAAAGGTTAACAACAAATACATGGGAAATAATGCAGCAGGCAAGTGGATCATGGTATAAAATAAAGGGGTGGAATGAGACATTTGTTTAATCATTTGCAGTGTTGGTGTAGCCGTATCGGTCCTAGGATGTTAGAGAGATCGTGTATCTTTCACTTGTCTCTCACCTTCATTTCATTTCAGTTAATTCAGTTTAGCTTAATTCGCTTCTGATAGAGGTCACTTTGGGTATGTCTACACTATGGAATAAGGTCGAATTTATAGAAGTCGGTTTTTTAGAAATCGGTTATATATATTCGAGTGTGTGTGTCCCCACAGAAAATGCTCTAAGTGCATTAACTCGGCGGAGCGCTTCCACAGTACTGAGGCTAGAGTCGACTTCTGGAGCGTTGCACTGTGGGTAGCTATCCCACAGTTCCCGCAGTCTCCGCTGCCCATTGGAATTCTGGGTTGAGATCCCAATGCCTGATGGGGCTAAAACATTGTCGCGGGTGGTTCTGGGTACATATCGTCAGGCCCCCCTTCCCTCCCTCCCTCCGTGAAAGCAAGGGCAGACAATCGTTTCGTGCCTTTTTTCCTGAGTTACCTGTGCAGACGCTATACCACGGCAAGCATGGAGCCCGCTCAGGTAACCGTCACCGTATGTCTCCTGGGTGCTGGCAGACGCGGTACGGCATTGCTACACAGTAGCAGCAACCCATTGCCTTCTGGCAGCAGACGGTGCAATACGACTGGTAGCCGTCCTCGTCGTGTCCAAGGTGCTCCTGGCCGGGAGCGCCTGGGCAGACATGGGCGCAGGGACTAAATTTGGAGTGACTTGACCAGGTCATTCTCTTTAGTCCTGCAGTCAGTTCTATTGAACCGTCTTATGGTGAGCAGGCAGGCGATACGGATTGCTAGCAGTCGTACTGTATCATCTTCTGCCGGGCAGGCAAGAGATGAGGATGGCTAGCAGTCATATTGTACCATCTTCTGCCGGGCAGGCAAGAGATGTGGATGGCATGCAGTCCTTCTGCACCGTCTGCTGCCAGCCAAAGATGTAAAAGATAGATGGAGTGGATCAAAACAAGAAATAGACCAGATTTGTTTTGTACTCATTTGCTTCCCCCCCTCCCCTGTCTAGGGGACTCATTCCTCTAGGTCACACTGCAGTCACTCACAGAGAAGGTGCAGCGAGGTAAATCTAGCCATGTATCAATCAGAGGCCAGGCTAACCTCCTTGTTCCAATAAGAACAATAACTTAGGTGCACCATTTCTTATTGGAACCCTCCGTGAAGTCCTGCCTGAAATACTCCTTGATGTACAGACACCCCCTTTGTTGATTTTAGCTCCCTGAAGCCAACCCTGTAAGCTGTGTCGTCAGTCGCCCCTCCCTCCATCAGAGCAACGGCAGACAATCGTTCCGCGCCTTTTTTCTGTGCGGACGCCATACCAAGGCAAGCATGGAGGCCGCTCAGCTCACTTTGGCAATTAGGAGCACATTAAACACCACACGCATTATCCAGCAGCAGATGCAGCACCAGAACCTGGCAGAGCGATACCGGGCGAGGAGGCGACGTCAGCACGGTCATGTGAGTGATCAGGACATGGACAAAGATTTCTCTGAAAGCATGGGCCCTGCCGATGCATGCATCATGGTGCTAATGGGGCAGGTTCATGCTGTGGAATGCCGATTCTGGGCTCGGGAAACAAGCACAGACTGGTGGGACCGCATAGTGTTGCAGGTCTGGGACGATTCCCAGTGGCTGCGAAACTTTCGCATGCGTAAGGGCACTTTCATGGAACTTTGTGACTTGCTTTCCCCTGCCCTGAGGCGCATGAATACCAAGATGAGAGCAGCCCTCACAGTTGAGAAGCGAGTGGCGATAGCCCTGTGGAAGCTTGCAACGCCAGACAGCTACCGGTCAGTTGGGAATCAATTTGGAGTGGGCAAATCTACTGAGGGGGCTGCTGTGATGCAAGTAGCCCACGCAATCAAAGATCTGCTGATATCAAGGGTAGTGACCCTGGGAAATGTGCAGGTCATAGTGGATGGCTTTGCTGCAATGGGATTCCCTAACTGTGGTGGGGCCATAGACGGAATCCGTATCCCTATCTTGGCACCGGAGCACCAAGCCGCCGAGTACATAAACCGCAAGGGGTACTTTTCGATAGTGCTGCAAGCTCTGGTGGATCACAAGGGACGTTTCACCAACATCAACGTGGGATGGCCGGGAAAGGTGCATGACGCTCGCATCTTCAGGAACTCTGGTCTGTTTCAAAAGCTGCAGGAAGGGACTTTATTCCCAGACCAGAGAATAACTGTTGGGGATGTTGAAATGCCTATATGTATCCTTGGGGACCCAGCCTACCCCTTAACGCCATGGCTCATGAAGCCGTACACAGGCAGCCTGGACAGTAGTCAGGAGCTGTTCAACTACAGGCTGAGCAAGTGCAGAATGGTGGTAGAATGTGCATTTGGATGTTTAAAGGCGCGCTGGCGCAGTTTACTGACTCGCTTAGACGTCAGCGAAACCAATATTCCCACTGTTATTACTGCTTGCTGTGTGCTCCACAATATCTGTGAGAGTAAGGGGGAGACGTTTATGGTGGGGTGGGAGGTTGAAGCAAATCGCCTGGCTGCTGGTTACGCGCAGCCAGACACCAGGGCGGTTAGAAGAGCACAGGAGGGCGCAGTGCGCATCAGAGAAGCTTTGAAAACCAGTTTCATGACTGGCCAGGCTACAGTGTGAAAGTTCTGTTTGTTTCTCCTTGATGAAACTCCCCGCCCCTTGGTTCACTCTACTTCCCTGTAAGATAACCACCCGCCCCTCCTCCCTTCAATCACCGCTTGCAGAGGCAATAAAGTCATTGTTGCTTCACATTCATGCATTCTTTATTCATTCATCACACAAAGAGGGGGATGACTACGAAGGTAGCCCACGAGGGGTGGTGGAGGAGGGAAGGAAAATGCCACACAGCACTTTAAAAGTTTTCAACTTTAAAATTTATTGAATGCCAGACTTCTTTTTTTGAGGCAAACCTCTGTGGTGGAGTGGCTGGTTGGCCGGAGGCCCCCCACCGCGTTCTTGGGCGTCTGGGTGTGGAGGCTATGGAACTTGGGGAGGAGGGCGGTTGGTTACACAGGGGCTATAGCAGCCGTCTGTGCTCCAGCTGCCTTTGCTGCAGCTCAACCATACACTGGAACATACTGGTTTGGTCCTGCAGCAGCCTCAGCATTGAATCCTGCCTCCTCTCATCACGCTGCCGCCACATTTGAGCTTCAGCCCTGTCTTCAGCCCGCCACTTACTCTCTTCAGCCCACCACCTCTCCTCCCGGTCATTCTGTGCTTTCCTGCACTCTGACATTATTTGCCTCCACACATTCGTCTGTGCTCTGTCAGTGTGGGAGGACAGCATGAGCTCGGAGAACATTTCATCGCGAGTGCGTTTTTTTTTCTTTCTAAGCTTCACTAGCCTCTGGGAAGGAGAAGATCCTGTGATCATTGAAACACATGCAGCTGGTGGAGAAAAAAAAGGGACAGCGGTATTTAAAAAGACACATTTTATAAAACAGTGGCTACACTCTTTCAGGGTTAACCTTGCTGTTAACATTACATACATAGCACATGTGCTTTCGTTACAAGGTCGCATTTTGCCTCCCCCCACCGCGTGGCTACCCCCTCCCCCCCTCCCCGTGGCTAACAGCGGGGAACATTTCAGTTCAGCAACAGGCAAACAGCCCAGCAGGAACGGGCTCCTCTGAGTGTCCCCTGAAGAAAAGCACTCTATTTCAACCAGGTGACCATGAATTATATCTCACTCTCCTGAGGATAACACAAAGAGATAAAGAACGGATGTTGTTTGAACGCCAGCAAACATACACTGCAATGCTTTGTTGCACAATGATTCCCGAGTACATGTTACTGGCCTGGAGTGGTAAAGTGTCCTACCATGGAGGACGCAATAAGGCTGCCCTCCCCAGAAACCTTTTGCAAAGGCTTTGGGAGTACATCTAGGAGAGCCGCGAATGCCAGGGCAAAGTAATCCTTTCACATGCTTGCTTTTAAACCATGTATAGTATTTTAAAAGGTACACTCACCGGAGGTCCCTTCTCCGCCTGCTGGGTCCAGGAGGCAGCCTTGGGTGGGTTCGGGGGGTACTGGCTCCAAGTACAGGGTGAGAAACAGTTCCTGACTTTCGCGAAAACCGGTTTCTCCGCTTGCTTGCTGTGAGCTATCAACAACCTCATCATCATCATCATCTTCTTCATCCCCAAAACATGCTTCCGTATTGCCTCCATCTCCATTGAAGGAGTCAAACAACACAGCTGGGGTAGTGGTGGCTGAAACCCCAAAAATGGCTTGCAGCTCATCATAGAAGCGGCATGTTTGGGGCTCTGACCCGGAGCGGCCGTTCGCCTCTCTGGTTTTCTGGTAGGCTTGCCTCAGTTCCTTCAGTTTCACGCGGCACTGCTTCGGGTCCCTGTTATGGCCTCTGTCCTTCATGCCTTGGGAGATTTTGACAAAGGTTTTGGCATTTTGAAAACTGGAACGGAGTTCTGATAGCACGGATTCCTCTCCCCATACAGCGATCAGATCCCGTACCTCCCGTTCGGTCCATGCT